CTGTAGAATCTATCAATCACAGCTTTTACAGATGCCCTCTTACCCTTTTGCCTAGAGAATTTAGTAAGTGTTCTTACACTTGTTGTAGTAGGAAGTAGTGTTGGAAGTACAACATTATTAACCTGTGTTTGACTATAAATTTTAATTACATTATTGATAATAATTCATATTAGTTTAATATTACATAATACATCATAGAATATGCTTAAAATGTACATACCCAAGTATTGCCTTTTGCTTGTTGTCAGCAATATTCTTCCAATTATCAATGGTAGAAGAAAAAGCACCGAAATATCTGTGCTGAATACATTGAACAACAGGAAGTTGCTTAGAAATTAGAGAATTTGTTATGTTGACAACATTGGTACGTGCAGCAATGTCTGAAGCAAAGATACAAGATAAATATTGTTTAAATTAGCAATCACAAGAATACAAGTTTAAGGTGTGAAATTAACTTAAAATGTAAAACAAGATATTTATTGTCCCGTTAGGTTTGAGGTATTATATGTAATTTCAATAAGCGCGCCCATGGTTACAATTTCACTGTGTTCCTTCTGCCAGAAAGTCAAAATGGTTTCTCGACTTAAGTGAACATAACCTATTACGCATGAACTCGAAACGATTATCGTACAACGACTTATCGAATTCGAACGAATAATAGCTTAAAATGAAGCCACCGAACTATCGTTCTACCTAGAGCAGTTAGTGGTGGAAATCACGCGAAAATTCACGTTACGTACCCCGGATTGCGGTACCAACGATACGCAACATTCTTCTTTTCCTGTAGTTCCGTCGGTAACCAGCTGTTTTGTGCCGTCGTTCCCTTTTTCCTTTGGCTGCCTGACCGGCCACCCGAAAGATGTTCCGAATTGGATTAAAATTTCCGTGCAACGGTTTAAATAGGGTACGTAAAGTAAGTAAAATGTAAAGGATTGTGCACGTCTGAATTTGACGGCATCGCGTTACGTGAATTGAATGAAAAATATACGAAGCTTATGGAAAAAAGGGTCGCTCACTGCGTGCTGATAGACATTACTGTCGCGACGTCTCCTGTAATAATATTTAACGTTTCATTGTTGTTCATCGCTATTCTGGCAAGGAATAAGTCGTGTTTTGTGTGAGAAATCGTGGTCGTGTCACGATGATGATTATTTCGCGAGTTGTCAGTGAATATTTCTGCAAACAAGACCAAGGTTGCCCGCCTCGTGTGACAAGATGGCTTAAATTTAGGAGCTTACATAATTCCAGGGAGTTTCACTGCCACCGTTGCCCTTTCAGGTCAAAAAACATGGATCCTCCAGACTGTACTTGACAACAAGGTGTTACGAGACACGTGCACGAGGCAAATACGACCCGGAATGTAGGTGAGTGAACAGATTTACCGTTTGTTTGGTAACACATTTCCACGATTGTCAAACTTGTCATCGTTTAAGTTGTTTTTCGGAGAAAGAAGTATTTATTTGTTCTTTCTATTCAGATCTTATATAGTGTGCTTTAATAAGCCGTAGTTTTACTCATATTTTATGAGTTTATCTGCGATTTAGGTGCAGGTTAGGTTAGGTTTGACATAAGTATTTAATTCAATATATTTCGTAGTTTTAGTTGCGTTTAAAAGTCTTGTTTGAGTTTTTAATATCTTGTGTTGCGAAATTATTACGTAATTATTATTTTGAACGGTTCTGTAATATGTATTGGAAGCAATCATGGCACTAAAAATAAACTTGTATATATTTGATGGTGCTACTTTTAATAAAATTTTGCGATTATTGCATTTATCGATGAAAGCAGGAATATTTTATATAAATGTAGCTATATGTTTTAGGGCTTTCAAGGATGTTAAACTTATGTCCAGATTTTCTGGATATAGGTATTCAACTGATTCAACGAAAAGGTATTCAAAGTTTAAACCTGAGAGCATTGTTATATTGTGTTACATAACAAAATTGCATGCCTGTTATATTACTGTAATTAAACCCATTTTAATCTAACCTTTTATTTCATTGTGAAAGTTTAAGTATTAACAATTAAATGTATCTGCTAATAAATAAAAGAAATGTTTATGTTTATATGTGTATGTCTTGATGATCATAAAATACAGTGTACAAATAAATTATAAATAAATGTAAGCCCTGTAACTCGTAAGCAACAAATTTTGCTTTATATTGTACAAAGAAATGTATTAAAACTGTTAAATGCATTTAACATGTTTTATAATGTATATTATTCAAGTGAGAAAAGCAGAGGCTCAAGGACACTGTTAACTTTGACTGCTGTGGCAATAGGAACATCAGGTGTATTACTCTATGCAAAACATGATCCTGTTTTCCGTGCAAACCTTGAAGGTTGGATACCTGGAACGGATAAAACAATTCAGATCATCTTTCAGGAGGAATCATCTTATTTTGAGTTCATCCGTACATACTTTGCAACACTGAAACAAACGTAAGTCTAAGCTAGTTGTATTAATCATTTTATATCGATAATTTATGAACTTTCTTTGTTTCAGGCTAATAAGTACCATTTTTGGAGAGGAATCAGGAAAAGGACAAGGTCAGAAAGGAATAGATTGTACAAATCTTGAAGATTATATACGTGAGCCCCACTACTAATTCCTAATCCCATTCTTTCCCTTCTCTTCCCTTTTATTTGTTGAAAATATAATACTTTGTTACATAAAAAATGCTTCATTTAGGGTAGTAATTAATTTGCTTACTAACATGTGAAAATAATGTGTGTACCGTAGCACCAAAGCTAGCTTTTGTACCATTGGTTGATAAGAAGGAACCACCTAATAACGAACCTTATACCGAAATAAGATTAAGTAAAGAAAAAGGAGAAGAAATTGAAGTTGGTAGGTTTTTTTTTTTTTTTTAATGAAACATAATTTTTCATATAATACATTTTTCCAGTGGTCAAGAAAGTACCTGAGGAATTAATGCCAGAAAATCTAGTCGAGCTAGAGAAATCATGCGGTGATGCTGCATCTAAAGCCATTGCCGCTTATCAGAAAGCAACGTGTGCTATTCAAGACTATAATCAGGATGTCATAAAAGCCGTGGAGAGTACGAGTGCCACCATTGGTAGTCCCGTTTGGAACAGGTATCTTTCACCTTTCTTATTCCTCCGTAATTTCTCCATAAATTCAAACCTAGAAATCCCAATGAAATATTTTTCTGTTGCAGATTAAAAGAGGCCACGG